GTGCCCTGGGCTTCCACAGTGCTCTTTCCAGAACCCAAAGGTTCTTGTCAGAGGCAGAAAACACTGAGCAGGATAAGTCAAGATCTGCTTGTTCCTATTTTGTTTTGCAGGCTGGGCTGGCTCTTGTTCCCTCATTCTCACTTGTGGGTTGATTCTCTTCCGTTTGGATACAGGCTGTTGTGCCCCCAGCCTGTGCATGCATCCTTCATTGTCCCCAGGGCAGGAGATCATCCCTGAGGTTCTGCTCTCTATTTCATTTGCAGTCCATGAAGGTGAAGCTACAGCCACCCTCTGGCACTGAGCTGTCTCCGTTCAATCCCATCCAGCCACCAGCTGCCATCACCCAGGTCATGCTTCTGGCAAATCCTGCCAAGGTGAGAGGGGCTCTGGGATTTATCCTGCTCTCTTCAGACAAGTGTGATATCAGCTGAACTCTGTGGAGGGGTGGGACCAAATATTTGAGCAGCTACAGCTGTTTGTTCCTAAAAGTTTGGACTTGATATCTTGGAGGTCTTTTCCAACCTGAATTATCTGTGATTCTAATGTGCCCTCCAGAAGTGGTTACTATGGAATGTTGGTGCTTCAGTTCAGGGCTAGAGGAGGCTCTTCCCAGCAGTCTTGGCAGGGAGAGGCATGAGAAGGGGCAGTGTACTTCTTCCAGGCAAAGGGCAAGGATCATGTCAGGCTCAGCTTTAAAGGGCAGCAAAGCTGCATCAGGAGTTTGACTCTCCTGTGCACTGAACATGCCTGGCTTTGCTGATAATTAGATCAATGCTAAGTTAACTGGTGCTGTAGCAGTACTTTTGATGAACCAGCAGGCAAATGTCAGATCTTGTCTGTTCCATCATTCTCTGTGACCAGGGACACAATGGGGTTGACACTTCCCTTTCTGCTGATGATGCTAGGAGCATCTGAGAAGATGTTTTTCCTTGCTGTAGTCACTCATTCAGTCAGCCAGCTCTGCAAGCACAAAGCTGAAGGACTTTCTAATTGTTTGACAAATTTAAATGTTTATACTTGAGAATTACAATGAAAGTGCCCTTCAAGTATCAGCTGAAATCTCAGATAAAAGGATGAATGTCAGAGGGATTTAGTGATTGTTTAAAAAAATTTTGTGGCTTGATTGAAGGGCTGCTTCCATCTCATGCTTACTGTATTGCAAGGCATTTTTCAGAGCAGGAACTGTTTTATCTTCCTCCACATGATGAGGAATGTAATTTTTGGAACTTTTCCAGCAGCAGTCTTGAGAGCGCAGCTGAGCAACTGGCCATGTCTGTGCATGCTTTTCTCCTTCTGTTCCATGCTAAGCAGTAAAAGTCTTTTGGTATGAAAAGTGTAAGGTGAATAACTCAGGTTTGTAAATAGCTGAACTCAGTGAACTTAACCTGAACCCTCCTGCCCCTGCTCTGTACAACAGAATCCTTGTGCTCTCTGTAGAGCTGTAACAGGGAAGTGTTTTGTTCAGGGCTGTTGAGCTGGGACTGTTCTCACATTGCTTTTGGGTTTTGTCTTTCCTGCAGGAGAAGGTGAGGCTGAGGTACAGACTGACGTTCACCCTGGGAGATCAGCCCAGCACAGAAGTGGGTGAGGTGGATCAGTTTCCCCCGGTGGAGCAGTGGGGGAATCTATGACCTTAGGACACTGCCAGAGACTGTGACAGGACCAGGGCAGGATCCCACAGGACTGGAACGGATGTGCCGTGGGGAGGGACACACATGCTATCCACTGGTGATGTTCAGCTTTGTTTACATGTCCTGACCACTCTGCTTGTAGCTTTAGTCCAGAATGTTGTGCCCCACGTTTGAAGGGGCCCTGGAACACTTCTGCCAAGCATGAACTGAGAGGCAGCCAGCCACAGGCGCTGCTGGCTGCTCTTACTTTGACCTCTGGGTGAATCTGGTTCTATCTTCCACTCTATTAAACTTGAAGTTATTGTATTTTGAGGGAAGACCTGTCAGCAGAAGGGGATTTAGGTGGCTTTTCCTGCACTGCTGTCCAGAGATCCCAACAGGCTGTGGGGTGATGATGCCGCGAGCTCAGCGCAGAGCCCTGCCAGGCCCTCCCTGGGCCTGTGACCTCCCTGTGCCACACGGGCCCGTGAGCATGCTGACAATAATGCTGCTCCACGAGGGAATGCTTCCTTTTTTACACTGAAACAGCACTTAGCTCCCTTCCCCCTCTCCTGCTTCATTCCCAAGGGCCCGTGTAAGCAGCCCCTCGCTCCGTGTGTGCCATACTGCTCTACCTTTACTTGTTCTATTTATTTTATGCTGCTGGCTGCCACCCTGGGGCATCCATTTGGGGCAGCTGGTGCTGAGTTTTGTCTGCAAATGGTTACACTGGTTATTTTTTTGCTTTCATTGCATTCCATAGCGTGGGGAAAAGAGGAAATGCATAGTGAGGAGGAAGGAGGGCTGGAGGGTATTGGTCAGTATTGGAGGAGGACAGCACCTGGAGCACAGAACTGTCCTTACAATCACTGGTCAGGGCAAGTGACTGAATCCAGGGGTAAGGAGAGATGCCTCTCGTGTCCCCTCATGCAGGCAGTGTTACTGGTATAGTCAAATACTGTGTTTTATTGAGCTGAGTACAATGACCTACAACATGTAAATAATCCAGCCATAGAGTATTAAAACAGAACAAGCAGGCAGAGAAAGGAAGAGGCTCCTCTGGGCTGTGATGGGGCATGTGCTGGGTTAATGCCCCATTTTCTTTGTTCCCTGTATTAAGTGGCAAAGTGCAATTGTCCCCACAAAGGGGAAAAGAGTTTTGCTGGACATCAGTGCTAACAGAAGAGCTGATCCTTTAGCTGCAACCTCCTAGAAATAAGGTTTAAATCACCACAACTTGGTTCCAGCAGCCCCTTCTTTTTTCTCAGTTTCCAGTCTCAAGCAGTGCCTCGGTGAGCCCTGACAGGCTGTTGTAAATTAATGGGGGCTTTTAACACCCATTGACACGAACACAGAGAGGTGCCTGCTCAGTCCTTGGACACTCAGCTCTGCATTTCCAGCAGGGCTGTCAGCTCTTCTCAAATGTGGAGTGGGAGCAGCACAGAGAAAAGCAGTACAGAGGCTCCTGCCTCGTGTAGGAAAACTCCACAGAGCATGATGCTGGAATGAATGGTGGCTGTAAAACCATTGCTGCAAACACAGCTTGCAGTTATTCATAGTTGAATTTTCTTTACTATGCTGCAGAGTAAAAATCCCTATAAATGAAAAAATGGGATTCACAAGCCTCAGGCCCTCATCAGAGGCACCAGGCAGCTGCAGGAACCCCTGAAGGTGGAATTCAGGCTTGTCCTGGTCTGAAGCCTGTGGAGATCTCAGCCTTGTCAGCTCCTGGTGCAGAAGCCAGGGGAGAGGGGTGGGTTGTTTGGATACTAAAGAAAGTTGTTTTAAGTTGATGGACTGGGAGATTATGGACAAGGAGAGAATTCTTTCTGCCTCAGACACGTTCTTGCCAGCACTTTAGACACAGTAGGTGTGGGGACAGAGCCTGGGTGGTGTGTCCTGAGGAGCAGGGTCGCTGCTTCCCTGCATGTGGATCTCACTGTGACCTGGAGGAAGGCAGGAGAGCACAGGTGCTTTCAGCAGCAGCAGCCACCCAGACATGGACACACAGTCCTGCTGCTTTGGAAATTAAACCATGAATGTTCCTTGTCTGTAGGGTGAGGTTCCTGCTTCATCCCCAGCAGTCCTACCTGTACATACATCTCCAATGCATTTGTGCTGCTGCATGTTGAATAAATCATTTTCCCTACCTGGCTCTGTGCTGGCCCTTTCTCGTGACAGCTCCTGCAGTGCAGTGCTGCTTCTGGAAAGCCTCAGACTCAAACTGTGGACTCAAGACCTTCCTAAGCAAAAATAGAGAGGTTGCCATTTCTAAAACCCTGCTGGTTTAAGAGGTGGCCTTCATTTCAGTTCTGGGTGTTAAAGAAAACATAAAATTCAAGGAAAACCTGTAGTGAGGCTCACTTCACCAGACCAAGCTGGAACTGGCAGCTGTAACATTTTGATGCAGGTCCTTTATAAAAGGTTAAAAAACAGCTTATGTAAAGTTGGTTTTGGAAGACAAGAACAAATGACCTAGCAATCTGCAAAACAAAACATTTATTCTTAGAAAAAGTCAGTTTATGTACAGCAAGCCCCAGAGGAGGAGGAACACCCTGCAGTCTTCAGGACCCTTCCACGGTGCCCTCTTTGACAATGACCCGAGCCAGGTTCCGTGCAAGGGCGAGTCTCAGCATTTCCACTTTGGTTGTCTCCACATCATCATCCTGCAAGGAGCAGAGCCTGGGTTAGAGGACTGCACCCAGTGATGAGCTGGAGCCATGGTCTGGCTCAGGGTTGGGAAAGATGCAGCTCAGTGAGAGGTATTTACCTGTTACAGGGGCCTCCTGAGAAGAGCAAAACCTGCATTTCCTACCTAATAGCTCAACCCAAGACAGCACTTTTCATTCCCTGGATGCTACAGGGCATTGCATGTGCAGCAAATAGTTCCCTGTTCTGTGCCTGGAATGCTCAGAGCCAGAGCTGCTGGATGGCAACACCTCAGCTCTTCATTGCTCACAAAATGTGCAATTATTTATCTTGGAAAAGCATCACAGTCCAGTGCAAACCATCAGAACATGAGGAGTAGGAACACTCCTGCACTGGGGTCATAAATACTTCAGTCTTTTATTGATGCTCTTATTTGACTGCCCTGAACCCACTGTGCCAGTCTCTAGGACTGGGGCTGTGCCTCTCCTATGACCTCACCAGGAATTAAGTGCCGAGTTTCCCTCCCTGACCCTTCCCACAGCCCTTCTCTCTTCATTATCCAATTGTCCTCAGAACTGAACAGGGTTACCTGGAATTTCTGCTTGTCTGGATTCCCTGCTGTCAGGTCTTCCAGGCATCGCATCAGCTCGTAAGTCTGCTCTGCTGAAAATATGACCTGTGGAAATCAAAGTATTTACTGAAAAAGATCAAATTTAGAGAATCACACAGGTTGAGAAGATAGTGCAGTGTAAGAGAATGCTTTTACACTCCCACAGCTCCATTCTGACCCCTGAAATCACAGGATCCAAGGATAATTCAGGCTGGATGTGACTTTGGGAGGTCTCTAGTGCCACCTCCTGCACCAAGCAGGGTCAGCTATGAAGTCCAAGTGGCTGCTCTGGGTCTGTAATTGCTGAATTATTCTTTTCTTGATGGATCTTAAAGAAAAAACTGTGCTTAGAATTGGAACAACCTTCAAGCCAAGTACCCAAAGGAGCTGAAGGCAGCGTGTGCTAAAACTACCAGAGCAGATGAATTCCACTGCTGTTGTAGCAGCAGGGAACCAAAGTAAGAGTCAATTCATCCCCTCGTGGGTCCCCGTGTGCTCCCACTGCCGGCACACTCGGAACCGCCACGGACAGCTCTGGCAGGAGCAGCAGGGTCCCCACTTTGAGCTCCCTTGTCAGGAACAAAGAAGGGGCTCCCGGGGGGCTGTGAGCAGGGCCTGACCTCCTTCTGCTCCAGCAGCGGCAGCGCGTCCGTGAGCAGCGTCATCCAGAAGGAGCAGGGCGCGATGTGCGCCGTCATCAGCGTCAGCAGCAGCCGCGCCGCCTCCGCGAAGCGCTTCTCGCCGTAGAGCCGGTGGAACTCCCGGTACTTCCCTGCACAGAAGGAGCCCTCAGCAGCTGGGCCTGGGAGATCCCTCTGCTCCCACAAAGAGCCAAAAGGAGCCCAAAGCAGCCCCTCGGGGTTGGGGATCTGGTGCATGAAGGAAGGTGACAACAGAGCCACCCTGAAAGGGCAGCCACGCCCTGGGTTTGCTGTTCTGGGTGAGCTCCAGGGTTTGCATCAGACTGGTCAGGGCTGCTGCTGCCTCAGGCTGTGTCTGCAGGGGAGCAATGCCCCAGTGGCTCAGAGCAGAGAAAATGTCCTTTTTGAGGTCACAGAGAATCAGGAGGTCTGAAAAGCTGCACCATCTTCCTTGGTTGTTTAAATGGAAACTGGAATCTCTGTTAGTAGGGAAAGTTCTGCATTTGCTAAGAATTAGTGAGATCAATATCCAGCATGAGAGAAGTGGCTGAGGATGGAAGTGGGGCTCCTTCTGCATCCACTAAACTGTCACAATACTGCAAGTTAATGATTCCCATTCAGATTCACCTTGACTAATGCTTGAGCTCAAGGCAGAGACATGGGGAAGCTATCCAGCAAAGGTAACCAAAGGTTCTAAAAACCTTAAGGGAAAAACAGGCAGAAATATTTTCAGGCCTTTCAGGATTGTTTAGAAACAGCAGAAAGGGAAAAGGCTTCTCTGGGGCTGACAGTTACCAGATGATGCTGGGCATGCAGAGCTGAGGGATTACCAATTTGATAAATCATGTTTAACTTCTAGACCTAGCTTAGGATCAGCTTTAATGAAGGAAAATCAGTTCTGGTTTTGTAAGCTGGACCAAGTGGAAACAGATAAAGCTCACCCTCCCTATAAGGGCGGTATCAGGTAGAGGGGAGTCAGTCCAATGCCAACAGCCATTCCAAATTCCTATCAGATTCTGGCCTACTCACAGCATCACAGAAATCAATTTCCTGTTTTGGTCCATGAATCAAAGGCCAGAGCAGCCACAGGCAGAGGGCAGGTTACCACAGCCTGCCCTGTACCAGGCAGGAGAAGGAAGCTGTGGTACCTGAAGGAAATGAGCTGGAGCCCTCACTCTCTCTGGCACAAGTGCTCAGTGAGAGGGCAGGGAGGGCTCTTGCTCCAGTGAGCTTGACTGGCACACTGAACCCACACACTGGAAACTCTGGAGAACTTGGAAAAATTATAACAAGGTCAACATAACTTAAAGCAGTGGGTTGCTTTTCCAATGAATCCCCTAAGGTAGATTTGTTAGTATTTCAGAGCCTCTCAAGGTAGTGCTACAGTCTGGAAAAAGAAGGAAGAAGTTTGGAGTGTCAGACTTGGCCTGTCCTGCTCAGAGCAGAGCAGGAACCTGGTGTGAAGGCAGAGGTAAAGGCCACCCCTGGTACAATCTGCATCCCAAAGCACATTCACCGTTTGCTTTCCCCTCATCACTAAACCAGGAGGCAGCCAGATGGAAGAAAGCAGCAGTGCAGTAATGCCCTGCAGTTCTCCAGAGCAGAGCAGCACGGACCCTGCAGCTCTCACCAAGGAACGTGAGCCGGTCACTGAGCAGCATGGACGGGCCCAGGTTGTCAATGAGGTCCAGGTCAGAGAAACAGCCCTTCTCACAATAGTCCTTAAGGAACCTGGGGAGAAAGGGGAATGCAAGGAAAGCTTAGAGGGGAGGCCATCATGCACATCCATTCTGTGCCTCATAATCCCCTCCCAGAAAACCTGAACGGACAGCTCAGTTCCATCTTAATCAACCTCCCCAAGGGATTCAGAAGTTTCTGGAAGTGGCCAAGGAACTGGTGTAATGTGTATTTAACAGACACTCCATTGATTCTTCTGCATTCTGTGGTAGTTGAGATCTGTTTTTTAAAAGGAGTAAATGAAGGAAGGCAGGCAGGAAGCTGAGGCTGGTGGATGCATAACTAACACTCTCAGACCATAACAAAAGCTCTGTTTTTCTGCTGTGTAAAGAAGTTGATAAACAGCAGGAACAAAAACAATGCTGAAAGCTTTTCATCTGTTTTGTCACAGCCTCCATTATGCTGCTTTCTGCAGAGCTGCTTCCTGTGATTTTTTTTTTCATCCTTCTGTTGCAGGAAATGTAATGATTCCCACTCCCTCAAATAACAAACAAAAAAACCCTAAACCTCAGATTAGCAATCTCTCACCACTCATTTTGCCAGTGTTGAAGACAGAGTGTTGTCTGGCCACCTACCCAGAGTGTAATTTCAAAATTATACTCTAACTATGCAGGGACTGGTCTCTGCCTATTTCCAATTAGCAAAACCCACACAACATGGATTGCTAGAGATTACAAAGCACAAAGAGTTGCCAGAGCTTTTGCTGAGGCCTGAGCCAAGTGTCAGTATTGTCCTCACTTTGATAACAACCCTCCCACTCCAGGAAAGGTCAGGAGTTTTGAGAGGCTCATGCAAAGCCAAGGACACGATAAAATCACTCATTGATACAAATTTTTAGTAGAAACAATGAGATTTTTAGTAGAAATGGTGGCTTAAGTGACTCCTACTGGCTCGTTTGGAGGTGAGGTGAACTTGATTATAAAAAATCTGCTGAATAAAGCACAGGTGGGGACAGCCCCTGGGTCACTGTCCAGCCCATCAAACAGCTCTGTCACAGCACGTGAAGGGCAGAGCACAGAAGCTGTTAAAGAAATGTTTATCCAAGTAAGGTCTAAGGGGCTTGGACTCTCAGATAAAGTCAATCTGTTTTGCCTCTAGATGTCAGGAAGGAAAACAACACAGGGAAGGCACAGCTGGGATACTGCAGGGGGCAGCACCCAAGGGTGTTGTTTTCTGGTCCAGAAGAAGGTGCCTGGCCCCACCTGCAGCAGTGGGAGCTGGCCCCTGGCACAGCAGGCACCCTCCCTGTGCCCAGGCTGGCTGGGAGCTGCTGCTCAGGCTCACCTGTCCGAGATGAGGGTGGCGAACGCCGCGTCCTTGGCGCGGATGCTCCAGGACAGCGCCGAGCCCAGGCTGTTGTTTTCTGGTCCAGAAGAAGGTGCCTGGCCCCACCTGCAGCAGTGGGAGCTGGCCCCTGGCACAGCAGGCACCCTCCCTGTGCCCAGGCTGGCTGGGAGCTGCTGCTCAGCCCCACCTGTCCGAGATGAGGGTGGCGAACGCCGCGTCCTTGGC